GAGGAGGAGGAGGAGGCAGAAGGAGGAGGAGGAGGAGCAGGAGGAGGAGGAGGAGGAGCAGGAGGAGAAGGAGGAGGAGGAGGAGGAGCGTTCCTCAGAGGAGGAACGCGTATACCGATACCGCTACCCTTCCGGTGTTACGGGGGCCTCCCAGGGAGCCGCCCCCCTGGGAGGCCCTCGTCGCCACCGCTCGGTTCACCTCGACATGCTCGTCGGTAGCTTTTGGTTTCCCCAGTTCCAGAACTCTCAGAGCGTTCCGGAACGTTCTGAGAAGGCCGCGGCGCCTGAGACATCCTCCAGAGCCGCCGGAGCTCAGAGATTCCCGGCGTATCCTCACCCGATTGTACTCTCGTCCCGATTTCGTCTCAAGGGGGGGTGCCACAACACGGGCAGAATCGCCCTCGGCGCTGGTGATGGTAGTGCCGCCTTTCCCCGAGGAGCGAACAGCGGCATAAACATACACGCTCGGAGCTTCGCGCGGAGCTCCGAAAGCTCACGGTTATGTATGCGGTTGTTTGTTTCCTTTCTCTCTTCTCCCCGCCTTGGTGATTCAGGGGCAGCCGCACCGACCCCTAGCAAACCATCCCCTTCCATGACATCCCCCTCGCCTCGCCCCAAGACGTCTGCATGCGGCCGGAGGGAAACGCGAAGGCCGAGGACGACGCCACGGAAGGGGATGGTCTGCTAGGGTCGGGTAGGCCGCGCCCGAAGGAGCCTCCATGCGGACTCTGGTGGGCTGTCTGCTCTCGCGTGCCTGGAGGTGCGCCCGCTGGTGCAGTGCCGCTCCTTCACCGACCTCGTGCGCCTCGGGAAGGCGCTGCGCGGAGGCCTCGGCGGGCCTTGCTGCGCGGCGGGCCTCCGCCACTTGAAGAGGCCTCGCAGAAGCTTCGGGCGGCCCCGGCCCTCAGCCTCGTCCTCCTCCTCCTCCTCCTCCTCTTCCTTCTCCTCCCTCTCCTCCTCCTCCTCCTCCTCCTCCTCCTCCTCCTCCTCCTCCTCCTCCTCCTCCTCCTCCTCCTCCCCCTCCTCCTCCTCCCTCCTCCTCCTCCTCCTCCTCCTCCTACTCCTACTCCTGGCTCAAGACTTGGGTCCCCCGGAGGGCGTGAGGGCGTGCGGCGGGCGCGCGCTCGGGTGCCATGGGGATCCGGCACCGCCCGGCCTCCGTCAGGATGCGCGGCTCAAGCGCCTCCGGAGCGGCCGACAGTACTTCGCGAAGTACTGCGCCGTTTGGTCGCCGGACGGCAAGCAGTGGCAGCAGGGGCTGTGCGGCGAAGAACGAGCCAAACGCCACCAGCTACAGCGCGGGGATCAGGGCCTTGTGGCAGCTCAGTCGCAGTTCGCCGTCGCAAGCTCCGATTCTCCGTGGAAGTTGGACGCGGCCCATACATCTCTAACCAAATGCGAGAATGGGGAAGCGAAGCTGGAGCCCAAAGATGAATCTCGAGCCCGGCGCCATCACCTACAACGTGGCGGTCAGGGCATTTTGGGGGCGAGGTCGCAGCCCGACGTCGCCAGGCAAGTTTTCCAGTCGAAGTTTGACGCATCCCGTATATCGCACCGCGTGAGCGAGACCAGGGAGGCGAAGTAGGAACCCGAGTTCTACAACTACTGCTTTAGGAGCAACGAGTGCGAGAATAAAGGGAAGTGGCGGCTGGTTTCGCCACACTCCGCGGGAACCCAAGAGGACAGGAACGCTGAAAGACGAACCCAATGCCGTCACCTACAACGTTGGGATCAGGGCATTTCGGAGGCGAGAACGCAGCCCGACATCGCCTGCACAGTTTTCCAGAGCACGTCATACGCATGCGAGAAAGTGGGAGGCAAAGCTGGAGCCTGATATCTACATCTATAGCCCAGTGAGCAGCGCGTGCGACAATGCAGACCAATAGGAAGGGTATGCAGAAGGACGAGCCCAATGCCGTCGTCCACAGTAAGGGAATCTGGGCATGCAGGTAGCGAAGTCGCAGCCCGACGTCGCCTGCGAGGATTTCCAGAGGATGTTACACGCATGCGAGACATGGGAGGCGCAGCTGGAGCACAGAACTACAGTTACAGCCTTGGGAGCAGCCCGTGCGAGAATGCAGGGCAGTGGCGGCCGTTGTCGCCACACTCCGTGCGAACCCAAAGGAAGGGCACGCAGAGGGGCGAGCCCAATGCCACCACCTACTGTTTTGGCATTCGGGCATTTGGGAGGCGAAGTCGCAGGCCGACGTCGCCAGCACGCAACTTCAGAGTCTGACTGAAGCCCATTCATCTCCATGCGTGCGGGAGTGCGTGCGTGCTTTGTTTGCGCGTGTGTCAGGCACCCCGTTTCAGGGGGAAGGTGCATTTTCCCGCGACAGGGCCTTTCATCGCCCTTTTCAGCGTCGGCAGCGTTTCTGCCGTCTCTGCGGCTCTCTGGCGCAGCCTCGGCCGCAGTGGATAATATTGGTGGCTGAGCGCCGCGAGGTTTCGGGTTAGGGTCGGGCCGGCTAACCCTCAGCCTCCCTCATCAGCCAAATGGTGGTCCTCCTCCACCTCCTCCTCCTCCTCTTCTTCCTCCTCCTCCTCCTCCTTCTCCTCCTCCTCCTCCTCCTCCTCCTCTCTAGGCATGCTAGATAGGGTCCAAGTAGATGGATCGGAGGATCGCGCCGCATCGCCGATGCATCGCCGATGCGGTTCGATGTGGAACCCGACTTGCTTCACGTCGACGACGCCGATGCATCGCCGACGTCAACGATGCATCGCCGGTGCATCGCCGACGCATCGCCGATGTATCGTCGATGTGTCGGTGATACGGAGGCCTCTATCCTCCTCCCTCCTCCCCAAGACCGATGTTGTTTGTAGTTGTGGTTGCGCGAGTTTCGCCGTTTGGGGCTCCCGCCATGGGGCCCGAATGTTCGACGTTTTAGTGGCATGGTCGGTCGCACTTGCTAGCTGGCAGTCTATTTTGGCAATGTGTATAGTTCTAGAGTCTTCGAATTCGACCCGACACCTTTTCGCCGCCGCGCCACCTCCTCCTTCCTTTTACCGATGGGCATTTGTGCTGCCGTATCGTCTCACGTCCTCCGTCTCCGCCTGCAGAGCAAGGGGCCTTCGGAGGAGCCTCGGCCAGATTTGCCTTGACCTTCACGGCTGTGCCTTTTCAAGATTGTGAGAAGCTGATGGTTCTGCCACACGGACAAAAACTGCCGATCGGGGCATTCCCTCTGGGGCTCTTCTGTGGCTGCGTCCTGAAACCTGTGGGTGTTTCCTGGAAATTCCTGGGAGTCAAAACACATGCACACATACACCCATATATATACATATATAGATATGGACAAACACATCACACAGCACATCGCACGCGACACAAACAGAACACACACACACAACACCTACAACTTACAGGAAGCACGCACGTAACACATAATTACACACCCACGTGCAACACACAAACACACCGAACGCACAACACACCCAACACACAGCCCACGCACATCACACCACACAACACGCAACGCCGTACACATAACCCACGTAGTACTTTTAGCGCACACAGAGAGAACACACACCCACACAACACACACACACACAAACACCACCAGCACATCACTCAAACAGAGCAAACACATTACAGAACACGCGCACACGACACACTCAAGCACACAAACACCCACACACACAACTCGCATAGCACACAGACATTGCACCCACACGCTCACATGTCCATGGAAAGGGAACATCGTTTTTTTGTATGAGCCTGTGCAGTCACGTGCCACTTGTATGTATGCATGTGTGCATGTTTTCATGTATGTATGTACGTACGTACGTATGTAAGTATGTGTGTACGTACGTATGTATGTATGTATGTATGTATGTATGTATGTATGTATGTATGCATGCATGCATGCATGTATGTATGTATGTATGTATGTATGTATGTATGTATGTATGTATGTATGTATGTATGTATGTATGTAATGTAATGTAATGTAATGTAATGTAATGTAATGCATGCATGTATGTATGTATGTATGTATGTATGGATGTATGTATGTATGTATGTATGTATGTATGTATGTATGTATGTGTGTGGCTGTGTTCATGTGTGTGCATATGTGTATATGTTGGGTATGCCTGTCTGCTTTTATGTACGTATGTATGTATGTATGCATGCCTGTATGCATGTGCTTGTCTGTGTATATGCCTGTACGTATGCATGCACGCATGCATGTATGTATGTATATAGTTGTTCGTATGTACATTTGCGTGCATGTATGTATGTCATGCGCCGATCTATGAGCAAGGGAGCCTTGCTTGTCCTCCCACCCTTCCTTCAGCACAACTCGACATGACGTGATGCGACGATCAGGCCAACCCTTTACAAGTTGACCAGACGCTATATCCATCTGACGCTTCTCCCGAAGATGCACGCTTGCAGTTGACCGCTCTGAGTGGTCGACCAACTTCGAATGAACGAATGACATGCTTTGGTGATGGTGGCGGCTTGTGTCTCCACCGCAACAGGCACTGGCAACAGTCATAATGGGTGAGTACCTCAGGTGCTACTCACGCAACTAGGGAGGGAAGCTTCGTGGAGAAATCCGGTCCTAGTTTCGATCACGACAGCACCTGGGGGAGCCCAGAAGAAACTATGGAGAGGGTAAACATGTGACAGCTCCAACGCAGTAATACCCATTCGAAACTCATTATTTCATACTGTCCCGATATATGAGCAAGGGAGCCTTGCTTGCCCTCCCACCCTCCCTGCAGCACAACTCGACATGACGTGATGCGACGATCAGGCCAATTCCTTTCCAAGACGACCAGATGCGATATCCATCTGAAGCTTCTTCCGAAGATGCACGCTTGCAATTGACCTCACTGAGCGGTCGTCCAAATTCAATTGAACGAATGACCTGCTGTGGTGATGGTGGTGGTTTGTGTCTCCGAGTGCCATTTGTGATCGAGAAAATTTCTAGAACCGACATCTGACGCACCTCCTTGATACTGACTCGCGAAAAGAAAGGACCCCCCCACCATCACCGAACCCCGTTTGCGATCAGCGCCCAGCGTACTTGCTGGCGCCAAAGCTGATACCAGCTGATCCAGTCGGGCGGGCCAACCTGCAGCTCGTCCTCGGACTCGGAGAGAGGCTCCCGGAGCCAGTCGAGGTCGAAGGCCGCCGAGACCGCCTCCCTGGTGCGGCCGCCGATGGCCTCGAGTTCTGGGGACAAGCTGGGGCCGAGAAATTCCCACAACGGGTTGGCCCAGACCGCCTTGAACGACATCCTGGCCCACACGAAACGGACGCTGACGTAGCCGCTCTTGAACAGGCGCATCTCGTACTCAAAGGAATCGAAGTAGGAGACTGTTCGAAACCGATGCTCAGAAACTGCAAGATGAGGGACGAGCTGGTCCACACCCGAGATCGCGTTCCAGAGGAGGTCGTCGTACTCACTTGGCAGCGGCTCGAGGGTGAGGGCAAGCTCACTCACCTCCAAGGCCTTCGTGGAGACACCCTTCAGCACCAGGAAACGGGCCCCCGAAGCATTCACCGACGACTCTGCCAGATCAGCGCCCGACCAGGCCTCCTGCACGAGGGACATGGAGCCCTTCGTCAGCGAGACCGCCATGTCCGAGACAAGGAGGGTGGCGTTCTTGGCCACCTGCGCGATGGCCCCCTGTGGCGTCCGCCAGGTCTTCGGACAGGTGCACGACCGCCCCCACGCTCCGCGTGAGCGATGGGGCCAGCCACGCTGGCGCCAGCATGCACGGGACGAGGAAGAAGGCCCATTGTGTCAGTAGCCCGCCGCGGCGTCCACACCAGTAGCGCACGCACGAGCGGCCCAGGCCCCACAGCCGCGCCGTCGAGCCCTTGACCTCGGCGGTGCTCTTGGCAGGTGCCAGCGGCTGGGCCTGCTGCTCCAGCAGGCGCCTTGCCAGCTCCAGCGCCTGAGGGTCGGGCCCTCCGCCTGGCGGCGTCAGCGCGCCAGCTGACCCTGGCGGGGTCAGGAAGAGCGGAGTGCCCACGGAGGGTGCAGGCAACACTCTGTCCCAGGAGCTGCCCGCGGAAGCCACAGACGGCGTTGGTGAAGCCGTTCTGGTGGCGGCAGCTGGGACCCAGACGCCGTTGACCTTCATCGCCCCCTGAGGCGGCAAGGCTGGGGCGCGCGGTGTCCGTCAGGAAGCAACGCGCCCAGTGCCTCGAGGCCAACCGCAGCTGTTCGGCGAGACCCACCTGCTGCAGCTGTAGCAGCACGTTGTTGGCCCCCACGACGTCCAGGTAGACGCGCAGATTGCTGTCGCTCCCTACCTGTCGCCCTCGCGGGTCTCCGTGGAACTGATCCCCTCCGTGCGCGCGTCGGTGGCCCAGCCGGCTTGGGGGCTGTGCGGGCCCCAGCCCGCGTCTACCCCCAGGGCCTGCTCGGCCCGCTTGAGCAAGGCGCGGTAGCGGGGGAGGGAGTACGGAAAGAGCGGACTGCCAGGTGGGGTCGAGGCCACAGCTATCTCAAGGACGTTCACCAAGTCCTCGTCCTTGGAACTCAACATCACGATCTGGGGTCTCTTTGACTTCGTGCCTCTCTTCGTTCCAAGAGCGACGATGAGAGGGGCAGCTGACAGACAAGTGCCCCTCTGCTGCGAGAGAGAGAGAGAGAGAGAGAGAGAGAGAGAGAGAGAGAGAGAGAGAGAGATGTTCAGGTCGGATCCCCAACATTTCTGACGGCCTCAGGCCGGTCGAACACTGAGTCACGAGGCCCAGCCCAAGCCGTCCGTGGCCCCACGACGCCAGATGACAGGCCAGGAGTTTGCCTGGCATCCTGCCCGAAGGACAGCCTCAGACCAGGCCAGCCTGCCGCAAAAACGTGGGAAAAAATAGCTCGACAGCGGCGAGCACCTGGCCGAGCTTCGCTGTCGTCAGTACCTCCTCGTTCTCATGCTTGACTTCCTCAAGTAGGTCGCCCCGCTGATCTTCGCCATGTGGGGTCGAGGAGAGCTGCCCAGTCAGTCAGCAGCCTCGCGGCTTGTCGATAGTTTTCGAGCGTCTGCGGATGGGCCTGCGCGGCCTGATGTCGGCCAAGCCGGCGTGGCCCAGCCGCGCATCGAACCAGCGACCGCGGTGCCGTGATGGCCAGTCTGCAGCTTGGTGCTTGGTGTCCACCCACGGTAAGACGAAGCCGATGCCAGTGGCGAGACACAAGCCTACTCGTCGACTCGTCGACGTAGAAGTTGATCCAGCGCTGGCGCTGCTGAGCGGCCTCTGGCCACGGCGGCCGAGAGGGTCTCGTTGTCCTCCCAGCTGGCAGCGAGGTGCCCGTGAGAGCCAGGGCAGGCGGCCGCTCGCGAGCGCCCGCGAGGGGGCCCGACCCTCCCCGAGCGTGACGTGGTCGGGGCGCTCCCACCTCCCAGCGCCCGGCGCGGTCCAGGACGAGGCCTTGGCCTCCGGCGGGCGGCGAGGCGCCTTGGGCACGGCGATGCGGCCAGCGACCTCTCGATCCTGGCGGCGCAGGTGCGAGGCGCGCCCGCCCAGGCGAGCCGCGGCGTGGCCAGGGCGAGTCCACGCCGAGATCAGCTCCTCGGCCATGTCGGCCTCCGCCTCTTTCGCCGCCGCGCCGTGGCCTCCGCAGTCCAAGCCTGCCGTTGGCGCCCCCGGCGTCGGTGGGGAAGACGAGCGGGGCAGCGGGCGCGCCCGGGGTCGGCCTTCGCGGCGGGCGCCAGCCACTGCGCGACGCGGGCCTCTCGGCTGGCCAAGGGCCACCAAGTGGCCGCGCGCCCCGCGAACTGGCCCGTGGTCTTGAAGATCGCGCGCGGGATCGAGAGGAGCTCCCGCTGCAGCTGAGCGCCCCGGACCCACGCGCCCGCAACCCCCCTCAGCAGCTCGACGTCCACCCGCAGCGCCGCCAGCAGCCAGCTGAGGCAGTCCTGCAGCAGGGCGCCGCGCGCAGGGTCCACCGACAGCGTGGGCGGGTCAGCCAAGAACTGGTGGCCCACGACCTCGTCGGAGATGTTGGCCGCGACCCTCTCCGGGGCCAGGAAGCCCACCTCCTTCCGGGCCGTGGCGAGGCGGGCCGTCGCCTCTTCGCAGGCTGGCTCGGGCGGGCGTCGGCCCATCGCATAGGCCACCGCGCGCGTGTCGTCATTCACGTGCACGTGCCCTGCTGCATCCCGCTCGCATAGGCTTGCTCGGCCTCCTCGACCGCGCAGCTGCGCAGCTCGCTGGGAACGCGCGGGGCCCCTCCAGTGGGCCCCCCCCGACGACGAGCTCCAGTTTGATGTCCTCGAGCTGCGCGAGGCTGCGCGTCTCCGCCCCCGGGCCCCCACGACCGCCCTCGCCCGTGGCAACCAAAGTGCGCGCCGCGCACGGGGCAAGACATCGGCGGAAACCTGGGGGGCGCGTTCGAGGCCTGCGAGTCGCAGACGCCTGATTGGGAACTTTCCGTAATAGATGCCATGCTCGTGGCGCCCGTCGCACCTGATTGCGCCCTCGGCAATCCCGAGGAGGTTGGAGAGGAGACCTGCGAGCTTCTGGGGCCACGGAGACCTCTGAGCGTTCAGCCAGGCCCCGGACTCCGCTCAGGGCCCAGATCGATGCGGTACGGGTCGCGCCCAGGGCCGGCGGGGTGCTTGACCGAGATAGCCTCTCCCTGGGACGCGCAGCCGTACGCGGCCAGAGAAACGAAAACAGGGGCACGTTGGCCGGCCAGGCCATGCACTCTTTCCTGCTGCCCCGCCGCCGGGGTCGCCGGGCCCGGCAGCTCCCGCCTGGAGCGGAGCGGAGCGGGCGCGGCCCCGGGTCGCGCGCGGGGCGGCCCGCCCAGGGCCGCGTCGATGCGCCCGCTGGGAGGCCAGCTGCAGCATTCGGGGCGACCGCGCGCGGGTCGTTGTAGCCCCATCTCCAGTCGGAGGCGAGGTCCACACTGGGGCAGAAGACCTTCAGTGGGCGCTGGTCGCCGCACTGCCCCGCGCGCTGCCGCGCGTCACCCCCGCGCCGCTGGCCCGAAGAAGCGCGCGAGGCAGAATCGCGGCCCTCTCGAGGTGCTTCAGCAGGCTCACTTGCTCCGCAGACTCCTCGACTGAAAGACAGGCGCCCAGAGGCCCTGCGCCCCGCCTCTTACGCTGCAGATCAACCCACTCGTGGTCCGGCACCTCCGCGGCCTCGCCTATAGCTCCTGCGAGGGCGTCGGCCCCGGCGCGGCCAGCGGAGAGTTGTCCACCGGGGCGCGCCCGAGCGAGCGCACGTTGATCGCCATCGCGATGTGCGCCGAGCGCGAGGGCCCCATGGGCAGCCGAGTGCAGCGCGGGAAGATGGGCTCGGAGTCCGCCACGGTCGCCAGCTCGGCGGGCAGGAGGGTTCGCGCCAGAGCTGCCGGCGCGGCGGGTGTGGCCATCCATGGCCACGCCCACTCAGGCGTCCCGATGGAGGAGAAGGCGCTCGACACGTCGCACCTCGCGGCGTAGAGGGCGGAGTCGGGGGCCCGCGGCGTGCCGGGAGCGGGCGCGGCCGCGATCAGCTTCCTCAGCATCGTCGCGTCCTTCTTGCGCACTGCGCTCACGCCGTTCACAGCTCGGATCCGGTCGCGGGTGCGGACTGCCCAGGGGTGGCGGGGAGGTCCGCGCGGTGTAGGTACTTGACGCACTCGCTTTCAGCTCCCCCGAAGCAGCCGCAGTGCTGCTCGAGCTCCTCCCCATGATCTGCGACCTTCCTTTCCAATCGATCATGTTATCTTCATCTCGGTGGAAGGCGACTCCCTTGGGGGGGGGGGCGTCTTTCATGTCGACAACTCTGGGGGTGGCGACCTCGTCGATGCGGTCCGCCTCGAAGGTCGCGTGCACCGCCAACTTCTTCGCCCCCCCCGTAGGATGCCTCGCCCAGCTTGAGGAGATCCCTTAGCGCCTGTACGCCTGTCACCCTCTCGGGCCGGCGAACGCGGGCTGACCCCTGGGCGGGCCCCACCGCTCTCAACTGAGCCGCCAACCCCGTGGCAGAGCCACCCCCGTGTAGACCCACAGCGCGCGCTCTGCTCGATGATTTGATTCGCTTGTTTGCAGATGATCTTCCGATGAGCCTCTCGCTGTCGAGTGCGACCCGATGTTGACATGGAAGCCGGCGGCGTCGGCAGGGTCGGAGTCGGCAGGCAGGTGGCTCGAGCCTCGAAGGCATTCACCACCTCCTCCAAGCTCGGGAACGCACCCTTGCGGCACAGGGTCGGTCTCGAGGGAGGTGGGGGTCTGCGCGATGGGAGGTCGGCCGCCGACGCACCCCCCGTGGTATGTCCTCCTCCTGGTACAGGCAGCCGTCGTACTGGTTGAGATGGAGCGATCCCCGGCGGCCAATATCGCCCCCCCCCCCCCCCCAGGGCCAGGGGGTCTCATTGTGACCTCCTTTGCTTCGCCGACGCAGCTCTGCATGCACTCGCTCTTCTCGTTTATGCTCTTGCTTGGAGTGCAGCGCAGTCTCGGACATCGTCCAATGGCGGGCGATATCTACTGCGCCTCCAGGCGCTGCCACCGCCCTCAACCTAGTTCCTCCGACGTAGTCCTAGATGCGCTGCTCGTGCACGTGCGCGGACAGGCGCCGCAAGGCCAGCTCGAGTTGGTCGTCGGTGTTCAGTCGCTGGTGCAGCTCCTGGTCCGGGACGATGCTGCCGACGGCGAAGTCCACTGGTCGCCATCGCCCACAGGTGCTGCCACTCGGCACCGTGCTCGGGCCCCAGGAGGTACTCCTTCAGCCAGTGGCGGACCGATGTCGTGCCAGGACCTCGTACGTGGCGATAGACCCGCCAGCAGCACGCCGGAAGTCGGGAGGGAGGCCATGCGCCCAGGCGTCCACGCTGCTGCTGGACGCCAGGCCACCCTGCGTGAAACCGCCCGTGAAGCCGCCCGCCGAGGCCGACTCGCAGCCTCGCAGCAGTGCCCGCAGGACCTCGGGATTCCGGGGGCGCCCGCCGTGGTGGCGCCCACGCAGCCGCGGGCCTGCAGCGCCGCTCGGGTGCCAGCGTCCAGGCCGCCCGTCGCCTCGAGGTCTCCGCGACCTCCCTCCGGAAGCGCGCCCCTCGCCGCGCGGGCGGGGGCCGCGCGTCGGCGCGGAGGTCCAGCTCCGCCCTCAGCCTCTTGGCGCACGCCGCCGTCGAGCTCAGCGCGGGGGCGAGCGACCCTGCTGGCCATCTCGGGGCGACCCCCCCTTCCGCCCAGCTGGGGGTGGGGTGCGGCCGCGGGCCCGCTCGGGCCCATCCCCGTCACCCTTCTGCGCCGTGGGCGGAGGCAGCCAGGGCACTCGTGCCGCCGTCCCCCGCGGGCGGCAAGCCCGCCGGCGCCGTCGGCGCTGGGCCGGGCAGCCCGAGCGCGGAGGGCGCGGCTGTGGGGGGCGCGGCTGCGGGGGAGCCCCGCCGGCGGCGGGCCCTCGGGCGCCTCGGCGCTTGGGGCAGCGGGCTCGGCAGGCGAGGTCACCTCCAGCGCGGCGAGGCGTCGGCGCAGCTCGGCCCGCTCCCCGACTCCTGCGAACTGCCGCGCCCGAAGCTGAGCCCCGCTCGCCACCATGTGGCCACCGGCGCCACGGCCAGGACCACCGGGTCCCAGGGCGCCTTCGTCACCACCGAGCGGCCAGTGTCCGCGGTCTGCGCTCCTCGCCACAGCAGCGTCGAGAGCGCGGTGCCGTTGGCCAGCCAGGCGAGCGCCCACCAGCGGCTCGGGCCGCCGTCGTCGGGCTCCGCACCAGGAGGGGACATGGCGAACAGATCTGAAGGAGGCCCTCTGCCGCGGGTGGGCCTAGCACCAGCTCGGTCTTCAGAACTGAGCGATAGGGTTTTGACCATACGAAAGCACTGGAGAGGGGTAACATGTGAGAGCGCAAACACATGTATACCCATTCGAAACTCATTCGGTCCTATGTATATGCGTATGGTTGTGTGTGTACGTACGTATGCATGTATACACGCATGCATGCATGCATGCATGCATGCATGCATGCATGTATGCATGTATGCATGTATGTATGTGTGTGTGCATGCATGCATGTTTGTATATATATATATATGTGCATGTATGTATGTATGCATGTGTGCATGTATGCATGTATGTATGTATGTATGTATGTATGTATGTATGTATGTATGTATGTATGTATGGATGTGTGTATGTATGTATGCAGGTATGTATGTATGTATGCATGTATATATGTATGTATGTATGTATGTATGTATGTATATATGGATGGACATATATGTATGCATGCATGTATGTATGTATGCATGTATGTATGTATGTATGCATGTATGCATGTATGTATATATGTATATATGTATATATGTATATATGTATGGATGTATGTATGTAGATATGTATGTATGTATGTATGTATGTATGTATGTATGTATGTATGTATGTATGTGTGTGTAAGTATGTATGTATGTTGTATGTATGTTTGTATGTGTGTATATGTAGGTAGGTATGTAGTTATGCATATATGTATGTATGCATGCATGTATATATGTATGTATGTGTGAATATGTGAATGCACACATGTATGTACGGATGCACGTATGTTTGTATGCATGTATGTATGTGTATATATATATATGTGTATGTATGAATGTATGGATGTATGTATGTATGCATGCATGGGTTATAACTATGATATCTATAGGGAGAGAGAGAGAGAGAGAGAGAGAACAGTGATCAAGTTCCTCGGAGGAAGACCACAAGGTGTCACGCTCACTCCCTCTCGCGCCCCCCCCCCCACACCCAACACCCGAGACTCGGCATATACAGAGGTCGCCATGGGACAGACTGCCATTGGGAACCACAACAGACGCCATGTGCGCGACTCTCGCGAGGCTCGCCGCGCATGCCAGGGGCGCCACGCGCACCTGGTGCCCCAGAGGCCGGAGAGTACCAGGCGCGCTTGGTGCGCCAGATGCGCCACGCGCTCCACGTGCACCAGGTGTGCCAAGTGCTCCGCCCGGGCAGGGTGTGCCACCCGCGCGACGTGGTCAGAGCGCACCAGGTGCGCCAGGTGCGACGTGACCAGAGTAGACCGTGCCATACGTCGACACCGCCATCATCCCTGCAAAAAGGAGTGCAAGATGGCAGCAAGGTGGTCGTCGAGGTGTATCCTGTGAGCACCCGCGATCATTTTGCATTGGTTCCTGACAGGGGTGGCGGGCCTGCACACGGCAGACACTGCGGCAGCTCCTCGCCATCCCTGTCGAAAGCCAGTGCGACGTGGCGACGGGGTGGTTTTCATGGTATTCGTCGTGTGCACCTGCAACCACTCTGGATTGGTTTTGACAGGGATGGTGGGCCTGCGCAGCGGACTGTGACGAACCCCACCATCCTTGTCAAAAACAAATGCATAGTGGCGGCGTGGTAACCAGCATGGTGAATGGTTTGTGCATCCGCAAGCACTTGGCATTGGTTTTTGACAGGGACGGTGTGCCCGCACAGGGCAATACGATGCCCCCCTCCCACGCCGTCCACTTCAAAAAGCAATACAAAATGACCGCGGGGCATCCAGACATGGTCCAGATTTTTCCGCATAGTGCACTTGTTGGGAGATTTTGTGACAGCGACGGTGGAGGGGTCGGCTTCGTTCCCTAGTAGTTGGCGGCCAGTCCAGTGGGGGAGGGGGTGTTCAATAATGGGGAGCAGTGAGAAGCCCCTCCCCGACAGGGAGGAATGGGATTGGAAGAACTATCCAGCTTCCTCCGGCAATTCTGCCACCGTGCCACGGGCTCAGGAGCTTTGGGGAAGGGGCCTCCGGGCGACCAGGGCTCGGGGGAGGGGGATGCATGCACCACACTGCTAGTAGAGGGAGGGCCCCTCAGAAGAATACAGAAACCCTACCAGACAGCTCACACGCATTCTGACACGCTACTGCCGTGCAGACAGGGCAGCAAATCTTCTTGAACCACCTACGCCCAGAGGTTTGGTGTGGCATCCATCACAAATGAGGCTGCGGCTGTCCGTAAGCTGCTGTGCATGCGTGTACTGCTCCGTGGCCACGTCTGGCTGCAACAGCTGCAGTCTTGTCTGGTATCATGTTGAGGTCGAGCCCGTGTGCTGTCACGCGTGTTTGCGCGATGTCTCGCACGATATTTCTTTGCTCGATGCTCTTCCTTCCCTCCTCCTCGTCCTCATTATCCTGTCGATCAGCTTTCCGCTCATCCGGGTCATCTGCAACCTCTCCGGATCAAGCTGGGCCTTGTGGCTGGAGCTACATTTTTACACAAGCAACAATCGCATGTCGGGCGCGCCGGGCATGTCGCGGGTCGCCGCCTGCTGGCGGCTCCCCGGGCCCAGGGGCCTGGTCCTGCTTCACATGCTCGCTCCCCTCCTGCGGCGCGGCGCGGCGGCCCCCACCGTCGCCCGAGACGGCCGGTGGGCGGAGAGGGGCAGAGAGCTCGCCGCGGAGGTCGACCCGCAGGGGCGGGCCTCGCTGGCGGCCAGGGCCCCGATGATGCGCCGGGCGGGCGAGCTCCTCGAGGCCGCCCGGGCCGGCCCCGCGGCGAAGGAGCTCGGAGAGTTGCCGGTCGCGGCCGCGCCGCCGCTGCTCGGCCTGCTGGTGGGCGAGGGCGACTCGCTGCTCGAGGACGGGGACGAGCACGACGCGCTCGCAGAGGGCGGCGAAGGGGGCGAGGGCGACTCGCTTCCGGAGGACGAGGGCAAGAACGGCTCGCTCGCAGAGGACGGCGCAGGGGACGAGGGCGACTCGCTGCTGGGGCACGAGGACAAGAACGACCCGCGTGCAGAGGACGGGGAAGGGGGCGAGGACGGTTCGCTTCTGGAGGACGAGGGCAAGCACGACTCGCTTGCAGAGGACGGGGAAGGGGACGAGGACGACTCGGCAGAAGGGCGCACCAGCAGCACAACGCGCAGGCGCAACATCTTCAGCCGCGCAGTTGAAGCAGTAGTACGCAGGCGCCGCAGAGTCACGAAGCCGCAGACACTCTCTCATTCAGATTACCGTTACGTGAAATACAACGGCCAGTGCGTGGACTGGCTGGGCAGACACTTGAAAGAGACAAAAGTGCGCGGCGTCCACGACCTGGCAAAGTGCGAGCAAACTTGCTCAGAAGCTGCCCAGTGCTCTGGGGTGGAATTGTTGCGTAACCAATGTTACGTTATACTGACCGAAGCTAAAGCATACCGAGGCTACTTCGGCCTCCTGTTTAATAAAGGCGCCACATGTTACGTCAAGAAGCTGAACCCGCAGACGCCGAAGCCGACGCCCGCGCCAACGCCGGCGCCGGTACCAGGGCCTCCCGGGCCTAACGGAACTGTTGGAGCTGCAGGACCTGTTGGGGCTCCAGGGCCTGCCGGAAGTGCTGGCCCCAAGGCCGGGAGACGCCAGATTTGCACCAGCACCAAAGCTGGCCAGGCCCGCCCCTGGCACAGGGTTGGCGCGTGCTGCTTCCCAGCCCAGCCAGCAGCCAGGGAGGGCTGCGCGCCAGTCCTGCGCCCAGGGGGGCGGCCACGTCTGCGGTCGGCGTCCAGCTGGCGTCCTCCCACCAGGGCCCTCCAGGCCCGAAGGGCGACCCGGGCGAGACCCCCGAGATGTCGGTCGCTGGGCTCGCAACCCTCCCCATACTCGGGGGCAGCGAGGCTCTCTTCCTGCTCACCCTCCTGGTCGCCTACTGCATGTTCTCGTCGAGGGTTCTGGCCGGCCCCAAGCCCGCCGGCCCCGCGCGCCGCCGCTCCGACGCGTCGTAGCGCGCTCGCCAAGCCTTCGGCCGCCAGCGCATTGGCGCGCTCGCCGCGCCGCCTCCTCCTCCTCCTCCTCCTCTTCCTCTTCGTCCTAGTCGTCCTCGTCGTCCTTCTCCTCCACCTCCCTCTCCTCCTCCTCCTCCTCCTCCTCGTCCCAGTCCTCCTTCTCCCTCTACTTCTCCCTCTCCTCCTCCTCCTCTCCTCCTCCTCCTCCTCCTCCTCCTCCTCCTCCTCCTCCTCCCTCCTCCTCCTCCCTACGCCCCTACGCCTCCTACCTCCTCCTCCCCCTCCCCCCTCCTCCCCCCTCCCCTCTCCTCCCTCCTCCTCCTCCTCCTCCTCCTCCTCCTCCTCCTCCTCCCAGTCCTCCTCGTCGTCTTCCTCCTACGTCTCCTCCCTCCTCCTCCCCCTCCTCGTGCTGCGCCAGCGGGCGCTGCCCGCCGAGGCGGTTTTGGCGGGCTGCCTCGGGCCCGGATCTCGGGCGCACGGGTCCGAGAAGCCCGCCTGCCAAACGGCATGCTTCGAAGAAGAACAACGCCATCAGCGTAAAACTTCTGGCGCTCCGCGCGGGTTTCTTGGCTCCGCGCTGCGCCCCCCCCTCCCCCCCCTCCCCCAGCAGCGCCTTCGGCGCCGCGCCCCTGCGCGCTCCGCGCGCCCGGGAGGGGGGTCCGGCGCAGATCCGAGAAATACGCGCGGAGCGCTAACAGTTTATGTGTATGGTATATCTCTTCTTCTAACGCTCTCGCGCGTGCATTGCTCCATGTCTGCCGCCGCCGCAGCATTGCCCAGCGCCATATTGCATATTGAGGTCCAGCCCGTTTGTTGTCACGCGTGCGTGCGTGACTCCTAGCACTCTGCTCCTCTTCTCGCTAATCTTCCCAAGACGCTCCGCGTTCACCGCCCGCTCATTCCAGTTCACACCAGAAGAGGCGAAGACCGCTCCAAGCTGGGATGAAAGTGTTCTGAAATGAATTAAAGACGGCCCTGAAGGTGTGTGTGTGTGTGCGTGTTATATTTCCTCTCGTACTCCATTCCTCCATCCCATCGCCGATTGGACTCAGGTATGCCGTGTGCCAGATCGATGGTACATTTGACGTTCGGTTGTCGGGACCCCTATCGTTACCAGCGGATCGGTGATATGGACGTTGGCTCCCTGGACTTGCGCTCCTTATCCGCAGCAGGACACCAGAAATGAAATGGCGAGAACACCGCCCAACATGGACCCAAGATGGCCTGGACACGGGCCAAAAGAGGCCAACAAGGGCCGAAGAGGCCCCGAAGAGCTTCGTGTTGTAATGAAAAAGAAGAGATTACCCGGTGACGTACCCAATCCTTTTTTCTAACACAGGGCAGTTATATTGGGGACCGCTCAATTCAAACGAGCATGATGAAAGACGCGCCTTTCGAAGCCCCACAGGGAGCCGCAAGGTCTAGGCTGGGTCCGCGTGGACCTCCACTCCGCTGGACCTCCCAGGAGCCCACGAAAATGGTGATAGTTGCGCGGCTCGCCGGCTCCCTAGGGAGCCGCGAGGTCTCGGCTGGGTCTGCGTGGACCTCCTTTCTGGTGGACCACACGAACGTGGCGACAGTTGCGCGGTTCGCAACCCCGCAGGGAGCCGCGAGGTCTCGGCTGGGTGTGCGCGGACCTCCACTCCGCTGGACTTCCCAGGAGCCCACGAAAAAGGCGACAGTTGCTCGGTTCGCAACCCCGCAGGGAGACACGAGGTCTAAGCTGGGTTTGTGTGGACCTCCACTTCGCTGGACCTCCCAGGAGCCTACGATAATAGCGACAGTTGCTCGGTTCGCAACCCCGCAGGGAGCCGCGATGCCTCGGCAGATCTGCGTGGACCTCCACTCCGCTGGACCTCCCAGGTGCCCACGAACGCGGCGACAGTCGCGCGGTTCGCAGCCCCGCAGGGCCCGCGACATCTCGATGAGGGAGAGGGCGACTGAACAAGAAAGAGAGTGGATGCGAGGAGTGGACGAAGGGGGAGGCGGGGAGGAGGGAGGAGGTGGCGCCCACACTGCTCTTTCTCAAACCGAGAACCCACCGAGGGGAGCGTTGGGGAAAACGACGGCACCAAACGACGACTGGCCCGAGGCGGCCCGGGGCGGGCGGGCTCCTGGACGGCCCGAGCGCGAGCACTCCCACGGGGGGCCGTGGCCCCGTCCTGTCACATCAGAAGCGAAAGAGGAGGAGGAGGAGGAGGAGGAGGAGGAGGATGAGGAGGAGGAGGAGGAGGAGGAGGAGGAGAATAGAAGGAGGAGGAGGAGGAGGAGGAGGAGGAGGAGGAGGAGGAGGAGGATAGAAGGAGGAGGAGGAGGAGGAGGAGGAGAGGAGGAGACTCTGGAGACTCTGCCTGATCGCGTAGCGATATGAATATGGAAGTCCGCTGGCACCTACTGAAGTGCCTGTTGCTTCCCTAATCTCTGGATGGTCTCAGCTTGGCTGAGCGCTTTGGGCCATGCCCCCATTGCAATACGACGCAGATACTCCCGCCCCGTGGCGGTGGGTGTGTCACATGCGACGGCTAACTTCCCGATCTGTCGGGAGGCGTACACCCCGCAGTGGAAACAAAACCACAATTTCAGCCCAGTGTGGAACCTTAAACGATGGGTTAAATGAGCATATCCCCCAGCCACATGTACCTGCATCCCGAGGGGGGGTCTCATATAAGTGCCATCAACATTGACAAGGTCATAACAACTGGTGCGAAGCCATTCAGTCCTACGGGCCTGGGTGGAGGAGTTCTGACACCTACTGCACCTACTGCCCGTGCTGTCTAGGGTATGTAGTGATGCAAACGCGGCACAGACAGCGGGGGCTGGCGGTTTGGCTGGAGCCTTAGGCTTCGGCCTCCTACGACGTGGGCCCTCCTGGTGTGCTATTCTGTCGGCCTCGAGAGCGTCTAAGTGAGCCCTAAGGATCCTCATCCTCACCGTGAACGCCTGCTGCTCGACTCTGGCATACTGCTGACGAATGTGTTTGGGGATCCTGCATTCACGAGCCGCTCCTGCGGCTAGCTCATCCGCGACGGTGTTGCCGTAAGCTAGTGAGCTGCTGATTTTACCTGCACAGATGTCGGTCTCAGTCATATGGGACCGAATGCAAAGGACAACCACATCTGCTTGCCGCCCTCGAACAGCCTCACGGAGGCGGTACCACAGGTCAGCGTCGGCGCCCTCGGGCGCCTCCAGGTGGCCGTTGTAGTAGTTGAGGTAGACACCCTCACTGTCGGTGAAATAGACCAGGTCACCCACCGTGGTGGTAACAGCCATCAGTAGGGCCATGAGTTCGCCACGGATGACGGTCTGTCGCCCTCCTGGCAGTGGCCCCCATGCAGCGCCCCGCAGCTCCATGCCGTTCCTGTCCAGGTCGTGGAACACGGCGATGGCCACGCCGACGCGGCGCATGGGAACACTGGAGGTGTCGCCGCCGCCACTGCCGTCGCCGAAGACATAGATGGGCTCGCCCTGGCCTTGACCGAAGCACCCTGGGCCGTAGGCGTCGGCGCCGTCGACCTGCCAGCTCTCGTGGTTAGCTGGTGGTGGTAGACGGGTCCAGCTGCGAGGTAAAAGCCCTCGCGTCCAGTAGCACTCGAACATGTGCTGCTGGGTCGTGGCCTGGGTGGTGAGGCTGTCCGTGGTCTCGTAGATCGGGCTCTCCTTTCTGCAAGGACACTGCCATATCCGATGAAACTCCGTCTCTTCTGCTTCCCCGCATCGCTCGCAGTGGCCGTCGGTGTCGGCGCCCTTGACCTCGGCCTTGACGCGGGCCTTGGGCCACATGGCACCAGTAGCGATGGCCAGCATGAGCGTTGCGAGGCGCGGTCCATTCTCCATAGTCTCGAGGTAGCGTAGCAGCCGTCGGTAAGAATGATTATCAATTCCTTCTTCCATGCCGCCGCCGCCTCGATGCTTGCTGGCTTGGTGCCAGTATCTGTCCTGAATACTGTTGTCCAGGTCGTCCAGCAGCGCCTCGGGGATGTCCACAGCGGGTATCCCTGACAGTGCCTCTGTCTTGAACTCCCATGTGTCGGTGCCGTCTGCCAGCGCCACTGGCAACCGCCACTCGTTGGGTGCTACAGGGTCCCAGCCATTCTCAAGCAAGTAGAGCACGAGAGCGGACTGGGGTCCTCGAACGTGTCGGACACGATGCTGGACTGGCATAGCGCGAAAGTTGTCGACAACCTTGCGCCACGTGAATTGTATTGTTTTCTGTAGCGGCCCAGCCTGCACCCAATGCTCCAACCACGCTTGTACGGCCTCTCGTGGGAATCGCCGAGCTGGGTCGCGAGCTCCTGCCTTGAGGTCGAGGAGGGTGGTCAGACAGCGCCCAGGAAGGCGCGGGCCGACGGCGTCGCCAAGTCGCCGTCGGAACAGCGTCAAGGATGTGCCGTACACGCCATGGAGTTGGTGGCCGTACGCTCCCGCAGCTTGCCCGCCCTGTTGGGCAAGCCGGCTTGTGACACGGTATCTTCGGGTAGCCCGAGCCAGTCGTACGATCTTCCGATGCATGAGGCCGTGCCGTGCTCGCCGCTGGGTGCGGTTGGCCCGAGCGTGCCGTGTCCCCGCGCCGAGGTCCGTGCCCAGGTAGCTGGCCTGACTCTTGTACTGGATGGGGTAGCCACGTCTTTTCATGGCTCGAGCTATGTACTTCGCGTCGTCCATCTCGGAGCAGATGATGACGCTCTTCTTGGCGATGGTGAGGCCCCTCTCGGCCAACTCCTCGCACGTGTCGGTGAGGCACCTCACCATGTCCTTCCGTATGGCTCGCCGCGAGCCCTGCATGCGCTGGGAGAGGTCGTCGATCCATATGCGGTGCGTGTGCCGCCAGTGAACCTCCGTGACCTTCTTGAGGGCCCTGAAGGTCATCACCTTGGCGAACCTGGTGCCTGACCTCAGGCCTTGCACCACAGAGCGACTGGGGAAGATGCCCAGCGCGCATGCACCGCTCTGCGTGAGGATGCGGGGCGCCGTGCACTGGAGGATCTCGAGGCCTAAGACCTCGGCAGGGAAGCCAACCTCCAGCGCCTCCTCCCCGAGTCGACACCAATCTATACTATCATAAAACTGTGCGACGTCCAGCAAACCGTGGGCCTGGGAGACCTGGACGTACGCAGCGAGCTCCTCCTGCAAGGCACGCTGGTACGCCTCGCGTAGGGCCGAATTCCCTTTGGCTGCGGCGTCCCAGTGGGCGAAGCAGTCCTTGTTCCACTCCTGGACTGCATCCTCGCGGCACATAGACCACAGCCTCGCTACCTCAGGTAAAAGTCCGATGATGCGATCGCCGCCATCCTTCTTGGCCCTCATGACTCCCAGCGTGAGCAGGAGCTGATGTGGCCATGCCTGTGTCTGCTCGGCCAGGTTGAGGATGGTGGCAAGCTCCTCCAGCGCAGCGTCTGGTAGCCGAAGAAGGTCGGTCGGCCTGAGCCGATCGGCTCCCATCGCAGTGGACGCTCGCTGCCGTCTGAGCCCACGGCGCACGTCGCACGCCGTAAGCGGTGGCAGGCCACGTTCCTGGACGCGTCGCCGAATGGCCTCGAAGAGGTCAGCCAGGCCAGGAGGAGGAGGAGGAGGATCGGGCCGGCCCAGGACAAAATAGTTAGTCCCAGAGCGTTCCGGAACGTTCTCACAGCGTTCTGGAGCTACCTGGAAGGGCCACGGCGTCCGATACGTCTTCCAGGGCAGCTAGATTCAGGAGCGAAAGAAGGACGTACGCGTACACGAATCCACGCTGGTTTCGAGAGTTCGCGCTGCGCGAATGTTCGTATCGCTCGGCCAGTCTCGCGGGTCAAGGGGCCGTGTTCATGCACATGGCTGGGCGCGCACGTCCTTTGTGGGCTCTCACTGTCCGTCAGTGGAAGCAGGCCCACAAGGGGCTACGCGACGCGCCCCGGCCGATTTGGCAATATTGGGTCCGACCCCTGTGAAGAGTCCTCGGGATGGCCGGCTGAGGCTCCAGGTGATCGAACAAGTGGCCCCAGGACTGTCCAACTCGTGCCTCAAGGGCACGGTGGCGGATCTGGGCCTGTTTGGGATCTTGTGGGGGGCCCAAGTTGGGCCCAGAATCGTCCAAATTTGGTCCGGGCGTCGTCCAAGAATGGCGTCGAAGGTTGCATGGTGAGAAAACTCCAGACGAGTCTGACCTTGAGCTGGAAGTGGCGTCGGGAGGCTAAGATCATCAAAACTTGGTTCGGGGGTTGCCATGTTTTTGAGCTTTTGAGGTTGTTGCCGAAGCTGAGCCCAAGAGGCGCTCTGGAAGGCCACGTCGATTCCGAAGGCGCCAAATTGGAGCCGAACTGTAGTCCGAAAGCGGATTGGGAACGGTCTGAAGTTCGAGCTCGTTTTGGACTTCATTTGGCAACCGTCTTCTGGACTGAAACGGGTATGAGATGCAGCTGGGCGGCGGAATGGCGGAGGGCTCTTGCGGGGACGGGGCGAGTCAAGGAGTTGTCACCGTTAAATCTCACACGCCCCTCAGTCTAATGTGCGTGCGGATCCGAGAGGCTTACGCCATTCCGCCGACCCCCGAGGAGGCTCTCGACAGGTTGCTTGCGAAAGGAAGGAGTAGGTAACATGTGGCACCTCGTACCTTTAGACTCCTAGAGGGCCGTCAAGTGAGATCTTCCGAGCACAAGCACGTAACATGTGGCAGTTCGTATCTGGAGCATCCTGACGTTGGGTCTGTTGCGGGGCCTTTTAGAGGCTTCGGGGAGGGCCTCTTGGAAGCCTATTGGGGGTTCCTGGAGGCCTTTCGGGAACCTCCGGGGGCTTCTTGGGGGTCTCTCGGGGGCATGTCAGGGGTCTTGCGGGCTTTCTTTCACAGGAGTGCCCCTGGGGCCTCCTGGAACTCACCCTCTTGTGCTCCTCACCTGGAGCTTCTCCCTCTTGAGCCGACTCCAGGCCCTTCTCGGGGCCTCTTGGGCTGGTGTGGAGTCCTCTCGGACCGTCTTGGAGCTTCCGGAAGCCCGAGAATCTGCAAACAGTTGGAAGACCAGCATTTGTTTGTGCGTCCTGAGGCCCTCTCAGGGGGTCCCCGTGGGAGCCCTTCCTTGGGGGGGCGTCTTTGGAGCCCCATCGGGCCGCCTTGAGGCCGTCCTGGGTGCTTCGAGGCCTCCCAGGCGCGTCGGCGCCCTTCTTGGGACGTCTGGAAGGGCACCTTGGGCATCTATGGGAGGCCGCGGAGAGAGGATCTGGAGGCTCCGAGGACCACCGAGGTGCGCCGGCGAGCTCGTATCCGGACTCCTCCTGCTCCTCCTGCTCCTCCTCCTGCTCCTCTTCCTGCTCCTCCTCCTGCTCCTCCTCCTGCTCCTGCTCCTCCTCCTCCTCCTCCTCCTCCTCCTCCTCCTCCTGCTCCTCCTCCTGCTCCTCCTCCTCCTCCCCATCTCCCACCCCGTACACCGGGATTTTGGACTCCAGGTGAGGGGAAAGGGTCACCTCACACTCCGTTTCACCCCCAGGCGGGTGTCGGCGGATCTGAGGCCGTTGGCGCACCCCGGCCGACATCACTGGCGCAAAAGTCCGTGGAAGTGTCTTAAGCTTCTGAACGATCTGTGGGCCTTTCGGGGGCGTCGTTGGGAGGCTTCGAGGCCACTTGGAGCCATGTTGAGGCCGTCGTGTGACCTATCGGAGGCATGCTGTAGGTCATGTTGAACCATCTTGGATGCTATCGTCGGCAATATCTTTCAGGGCCATCTTGGAGCCATCCAAGGCCTTCCCCCTCCCTCCCGCCCCCCCCCTTCAGACCTTGGCGAGGGCATCGGGCAAGAACGTGGTCTCGAAAGCGCTGCTGCCTGCGCAAGCAATGCTGGGCTCGCGCATCCCCGCTGGCCCATCTAGAAACGGCCCCCAGGCCAGTCGTCGTAAGAAGTGAGGTGAAGAAGCGTTCTTCGACGAACCAAGGAGGGAAGACATCGGTCAGACCGAAGGAGGGGTCAGCCAAAGCAGCCCACCGAAATGGCCTCCCCGGGGCCCTTGGGGAATCCCTTGTAGGGCTCTTGCGGCCATATCGGGTTGGATCACTTGAGCTTTTTTGGGCGCCTCTGGGGCTCCCGGAGACCAAACAGAAGAGAAGGGAGAAGGACAATTAGCGCCCTCCCTTTGGAGCTGGCAAAATTACCTTTCAGCATCCTCCATGGGGCTCTGATTGGGTAAGCAGCCCATGGTGTTCATGAAAGCGCCTCCGTCTCCTCGTCCTCGTCTTATTCTTCCTCGAACTATCCGAGGCTGCAGAGGGGACAACCGCCCGAGGGGGCAGTCGGTGGCAGCATAAAGTCTGCCTCGCCCCACAGCCGGTGTTCTTCGCCTAATATGGTTTGCCTCTAGCCCAGCGGGGGCTGTCCGCTGCACAGGCGCGCGCGCGTGTAACGAAGATGCGCGGCGGGGCTCCAGCGGCAGCAGCACTTCACGCGTGGGTGGAGCCAGTGGCAGTCTTTCCCTGCAGGGCGGGCCGATATTCGGGCGTTGGAGGTACGACGGCAGTTTTTTCTTCAATCGGGAACGTTTTTCCGCAGGCCTTGCGCTGGCGTGGCCAGTGTCCACGGTGGTGGTGTTGGTCAAGGAATGATGAGCGACTTCTAGTTGACAATACCTCATCGATTCCTTGGCCAGCGTCCCCACCGGCCTCCTGCGGCCCAGAAGAGGCGAAGGAGAGGGCCTGGCCGTGCAGGGCATCGGAGTTTTGTTTCATCCCCAAGGTAGGCACAAGACGTCTCAAGGTATGTATGTGTGAAACTCTAGCTGCGTCGTGCGGCGGTCTTCAAAGGCTCCTGCAGCCAAGGCCGGACTGCTGCAGGCTCCTGCTGGTACGAGACGGGTCCATGCAGTGGCTGGTGATCCGCCCGCAGGCCATCTCTAGGTGGTCTCTGTCCTGCTGCTGCTGCTCTGGCCAGCCGGAAGGCGAACCGCATGCTTTGCATGGCAGCCAGGCTCGCTGTATCAGGCTGCTCGGCGCTGCGCAGCGTCGCCAAGTCTGAACGCCGCTGGCGCCGCTCGATGTGCAGAACATGCTCAGGAGCGGCATGACTATTAATGCCACCGCGCATCTTCGCGCGGCATGTCGCCCGCTGATCAGTGGCAGGCGATTGTCGCCGTCTCTGTAGCCGATTCTTTCCGTTCCAATGGCACGCGTCGCGATCATTGTCGGCCGGAGGAGCATTTCTGTTTTACCTTAGCACGCCCGAACTGGGAAAGGTGGCCCCACAGCCGCAGGCACACTCATCCCCCTCGTCCGCCTTCGAGAGTCTCTCTGGCGCGAAGTTTCTCCCCCGGACCGAGGTGGAAGCGCTCCCAGGATTCGCGCCGCGTTGACGAGGCTGCGACACCAGCGCGGGCTTTCAGGACTGAGCGCCGCCGGTGGCCAGGAACCTTCCGACATCGAACGATCTGCGCTACCGGAAATCCGCGATCGTGCGCCGATGTCGAACGCCCCACGCCGCATCAGCAGCGAACGATACTGCCGATGTCGAGCGATCTGCGATATCGGCCAGCCGATACCGCACGATCTGCGCAGTCGAGCGATCCACGGGGTGCCTGCAAACAGCGCCGAATTCATGGCGGCGTGGCCCCGCCGCAGGGCACCCACGGGGGCGCGAAGACGATCGCGCTTCGCGGTCTCCACGAGGTGGCGCGATCGTCGTCGACGTCGTCGTCATCCTCGTCGTCCTCGTCGTCATCGTCGTCGTCCTCATTGTCCTCGTCGTCCTCATTGTCCTCGTCGTCCTTGCGCTCCCCATGGTCGTCGACGTCGGCGTGCTATCCGGGTCGCCCAGTCGAGGCGACCAGCCTCGGCGTTTCCTTCCAGACGAGCCCTCATGGTGAGCTCGTCCGCACGACCTCGCCTCGGACGAGCTTGTCCAGACGACTTCGCTCGCTCGACCTCTCCTCGGATGAACTCGGCGGCTGCGGCGGCGGTGGCGACCGACGACGAAGGCGGCGACGGCCACGGCAACGGCGGCGCCGCACAGTGAATCACTGCATCGCCGCACAGTGAATCACTGAATCCCGCAGCCGAGGCGGCGACGGGCCTGCGGAGCACGCCCCTGACGAGCAGCCTCGACCCCCGAGCCGCTCGCCGCCGTCGTCGCCGAGCCGCTCGCGCGGGGGCGGCATGGCCCAGGACGCGGCCACGGTGGCGGAGCCGCCGTCGCGCCTGCGCCGCCACCGCCGCCGGTTGGAGTCGCCCGTCGACGCCGCCCCGGCCGGCGTCGTCGTGGCCGGCGTCGTTGCCGCTGCCGTCTCGCCGGCGTCGTCGTCATCGGCATCGGCGCCGGCGCCAGCGTCGTAGTCGGCGCCAACACCGCTGGCGGGTCGTCGCCGTCGGGGGCGGAGACGAGGAGCAGGAGGAGGAGGAGAGGGAGGGGGAGAATGAGGACGAAACGGGCGAGGAGGAGGAGGAAGAGGAGGAGGAGGAGGAGGAGGAGGAGGAGAAGGAGGAGGAGGAGGAGGAGGAGGCGAAGGAGGAGGAAGACGAGGAGGAGGAAGACGAGGAGGAGGAGGAGGAGGAGGAGGAGGAGGAGGAGGAGGCGCTGGAGCGCCCCTACCGTTGCGACGAGGACCCGGCCGCGGAGCCGCCGCAGCCGGCGCCGGCCTCGGGCGGCGCGCGCGCGGGCGCTCGTGCGCGCGCCCCGCCACGGGGGCGGCGTCCCCCGCCACGTGCGGCCCGGTGGCCTACCAGTTTCTGTTCTTGTTGGGGTCGAGCAGTGGTGAAGCGTCCTGGCTCGCCCATAGCCCTGCCAAGCAACGTTCCAAGAACCTGTTCTGTGGCTTCCACGAAAGGTTCTCAGAACATTTCTGGCGGAGTCTGTCTTGCTTTATCACATCGGGCTTGCGCTCTAAGAGCATTGTTTTTGTTCTTAGAACATGTTTGGGTTCCAAGAACACTTCGTGGCAGGACTATAGAAATGCCGGGACAGTCGGTCCCTGCTCCATGGGGGGGGGCGCCGAGCCCACTCGAAGCGGGGCCGCGGGGCAAGCATGTGTCAACACAGGTGTTCAAGGCAGGCGCGCTGTGAACCTGACACCCGCCTGCGTGAGAACACGGACCCGATCGAGGCAGCTCGTCATGCGCAACTTGCAGTGGCGTGCAGAACCACGTGGGCGGCGACCCCGTTGTCATTCCGTATGTAAACCTGCATGCCAAAGAGGTCGCCTGATGTCGACCTCGTCTCATCCGGTGCGAGTTCCCGTGCGCGGAGAACGCCGCGTGGATCTCGCGCAGGAGCAGTCGCACCGAGGTGGATTGAGGATCTAGGGCGCGGTCGACACGTATTGCGAAAAATCATATGATCGCGTCAGCATAAAGTCTTCAAAGTGTCGCGCGGATTTCTTGGACCTGCCCTCGGGCCCCCTGGCGGGTGGGTGGTCTAGCGCCGATCCAAGACATCAGCGCGGAGCTCCGACAGTCCACCGACGTCGGCCCCAAGGGTACGGGGGAGGAGGGAGGGTGGGAACGGGTGTGGGCCTCTAGTCGCTGCAGCTGTCCTCCCCTCGACTCCTGCTCCTTCTGCCTCCCTCCGCCCTGCAGCTCTCTCTCTCTCTCTCTCTCCCCCCCTTTCCCAGTAGTTGTCTTCATTCTCGGCATCGTTCTCCTTCCCGCCGGGCCCGTTCTCGGCCTCGCCTTCCGCCTCCTGCTCTCCGCCTTTCCCTTGCTCGTTCGCCCAGTGCGGTGTCTGCTGGTGGCTTCACCGCCTGCTCCTCTGTAGCGATTGTTCATTGAGCGCCGCCTCGGATCAGAGGCATCCTCCGAGGCGGCCTTGAGCGCTCCGCGCGCGCGCCCGCGCGCCTGGGTGAGGATGCCGACAGCTGGACTGGCGGGGCTGCACAAGGGGGGGGGGAGGCGAGGGGGGGCCAGGTGGGGCACGGTAGCCTTCTGCGAACACGGGGGGAGGAGGCCTCTTTTTGGAGGGCCCTGTCCCCCTCCCACCTTCCCAGCAGGCCCTCCTGAGCAGGCCCCCTTCGGAGGCGTGGGGAGGAGGAGGGGGGATATCCGGGGATATCCGGTGAGGCGGGGTGGGTGGAAGGGGGAAGACTCCAGGAGAGGCCGCCTTCCCTCGCCCCGTCCCCCGTCCGTTCCTGCTCTCCGGGTCCGGCCCCGTGCCCTTCTGGGGCGCTGCCTCCCCGAAAGGGGCCGCTCCAGGCAGCGCCGCGCCGTGGCCGCGAGGGCCCGCGGCCTCCCTGGGTCCTCGGCGGCTGTGCCCCCCCCCCCGCCTCCCCCGCCAGCGCACCTGGCGCTCGGTGGGCCCTGCGCGGCTGCCAGCACAGCTCCACCCCGCTCGGCTCCTCCTGCGGGCGCGCTCGATCCACTGGGGAGGTCTCGTGGCTGCCTGGGGAGGGGGGAGGGGGGGGGTGCTCACCGCGCGGGGGGTTGCCTCCCTGGAAGCGCGGATCCAGCGCAATTTGCGTTGGGTCATGGCTTCGGGCCGCTTCATGAGGGATGGGGCAGACATCCTTGGAAATCTTCCAGGGGGGGCGATATGTTTTTTGGGGGCTGGGGAGGGGGGGGGAGACTGACGGGGCAGGGTGGCTCGTCCCCTAGCACGTCCCGTGGCGCGTCCTCTGGCGCGTCCCCTGGCACGTCCTCCCAGCACGTCCCTTCTTGGCGCGTCCCTTGGCACGTCCGCGGCGCGTCCCCTGGCGCATCCCCTTGGCACGTCCCCTCGACACGTCCCTTGTGGCGCACCCTGGCGGGTCTCCTGGCGCGTCCCGTGGCACTTGTCGCGCGGGAAGGCCCGTGGCGCGTCCCATGCCACGTCCTTTTGCCCGTCCCACTGGCACTCCTCCTGGCGCGTCCCCGGGCTCGTCTCCTGGCGTGTCACCTGACTCGTTCCGTGGCACATCCCATGGCGTCCCTTGGCGCGTTCCCTGACGCGTTCCTTGGCGCATCCCCTGGCCCACTGCCACGTCCTCTGGCGCGTCCCCTTGGCACGCCCGCCCCCCGGCGCGTCCACTGTCACGCCCCCCTGGTGATTTTCCTGGCAGGTCCCCTGGCAGGTCCTCTGAGGAGCGGTGGTAAGACCCGCAGAATGACTCACGTGCGGGACATCGGCCCCCTTCCGAAACCAGCGCGGGCGGTAATTATTTCGCAGAAGGAAGCACAGCACGAACATATAACTTCTCGGAGCTCCGCGCGGATTTCGTGGATCTGCGCTTGACCCCTCTGGCGGCGCCTCCGGCGCCGCCCCTGGCGCGCTCTGCGCGCCACCGAGGGGGCCTGGCGCCAACCCAAGACATCCGCGCGGAGATCCGAACGCTTGTCCATGCCGTGCTTTCTTCGTCTACAGTGAGCGGCTTGAGTAAGGAACACTTACTTTTCAAAAGGGGCTCGGCCGTTCCTTAGATTTTACATGCGTTATTTACAGTTCCTTATGCGTTATTTATTTTTGATCGTTCCTTATGCGTTATTCCTTGGGATAAAAAGGGGCTTCGTTCCTTATTTATCGTTCCTTAGGTCAAGGCCCCGACTGTACGATCCCGACGTGTTCAGTGCACCCCACCCTTCCTGGGCTGCCGGACGGCCGCGCCGAGGTGCTCGTGCGGGCACTGCCTGCGCCAGAGCCTACGTGCGCGGAGCGGGTGGCCGTGCCTGGCGCGCTGGAGACAGGACCCACCTCGCCGCCGTCGGGCCCGCCGTCGTCGTCGCCGCCGCCGCCATCGGCGTCGGCGTCGGCGTCGGCGTCGGCGTCGTCATCGTCGCCATCGGCGTCGGCGTCGGCGTCGGCGTCGTCGCCGTCGTCGCCAATGCTGTCGTCGTCGGCGTCGCTGCGGCCGTCGCCGCCGCTGCAGTGGTCGTCGACGTCGTCGGCGTCGTCGTCTGCACCGCCGCGGAAGTCGTCGACGTCCGCGCCGTGCCCTCTCCGCTGGAGGCCAGCCCCGACCTGATCCGGCGCGGCCGGCGCTGCCGTGGGGTTCGATGTTTGACGAGCTCGGGTCCGCGGAGCGGGCGGCCGTGAAGGGCGCGTCGCAGAAAGGAGCCTCGGGGCTGGCGTCGCCGAGCCGCCGCCGTCAGCGTCGTCGCCGCCGCCGCCGCCGCCGCCGCTGCCGCTGTCGTTGTCGTCGTCGTCGTCGTCGCCGCCGCCGCCGCCGCCGCCGCCGCCGTCGTCGCAGTCGCCGTCGCCGTCGTCGTAGCAGTCGCCGTCTCAATCGCCGTCGCATTCGCCG